AAAACCGAAGAGTTGTAATTAGCCGTATGAAGATCTGAAAATCTGACGTTATCAATCTTATCAATCTCATAGCTGTTTCTACGGCTGGCCAGTAAAACCACATGCGCAGCTTGATTTTCTCCGTCCCCGCAGCAAAACTGCAACGCTGCGAGACAGATCTCTCTATTTTCTTGCATATGTATATCTTAATTTCATATAATGTCCCTTAATCTAGGCTCCGCATTACGGAAACTTATCAACTATGGGTATTTAACTGCACCAATCCCGCGGGTTTCATATTTCGCTTCCTCGAAATGGAGCTCCGCGGTCTGCCGCTATCACCATAGAGATCACGCATTCCGCAGGCATCGACGATTACTCCATACCTCGCTAGATACCACCCGAGGAGCAGATACGCCACCGCAAGCTACACTCCAGAGTAACATCTCGAAACTTGACCCTACGTCGCTTCCATTGTCATGCCCTGGCTGCGGCGCATTTTCGCAATGGGTCACTCCCGACGAAGCTGGTTTCTATTCTCTTAGCAGGAATGCTGTAAAAGAGTATATGCGTTGCTTCTCTCCTGATCCTGAAGAATGCAGCTCTGCAGCTGAAGATGTGCGATCGAGCAACAGTAATATCAGCATTATCAATGATGCGCCGGCCGAAAATGGACTGGCTGAACAATCTGCGACAGGGCTCGAAGGCAAGGGGCGATCTACCTCAACTCCCTTGAATAGCCTGCACCCAGCTAACATAACATTTCCTATAGGCACACCCCCGCCAAGTGATATAAAGGTTCCATTCTGCGACAGATGTCACAATCTCCTAAACCATGGCCTTGCATCTCCCATTCCCTACCCGTCATTATCATATATCCAAGACATTCTAGCCGAATCACCATTCAAGCACAACCATGTCTATCACATTGTAGATGCCGCAGACTTCCCCATGTCACTGATCCCTAATATTGGACGAATCCTCTCCCTGGCGAAGATGCGCTCCCAAAACCGAAGAGCGAAAACCATACAGTACAGTGGCGGGGCTAGAAAACCCTTTCTTAGCTTCATAATTACACGTTCTGATCTCCTTGGTTCCCAGAAGGAATTCGTGGACCATCTCATGACCTATATATTGAACGTTATGCGTGAAGCACTAGGTACCAAAGGGAAATATGTGCGTCTGGGGAACGTGCACATGGTTAGCGCGCACAGGGGCTGGTGGACGAAGGATATCAAGGACAAAATCTGGGAAGAAGGCGGGGGTGTTTGGATGGTTGGGAAAACCAATGTGGGGAAGAGTAGCCTGCTCCAAGTTGTTTTCCCAAAATCCCCTAGAGCTCTACCTCCTTCCAAACTATCTGCCAGTAGGAGGTTCGATGGGAGTTTACAACTCAACAGGCGGAATATGAATCTCACCGACTCCACCACGCACTACAATGAACTACCTCTTCCAGGAGAATTTAAAGACCAGGACCCTGACCAGGGCGGCAAAGCCATTGAAGAAGTTGACGTCCTCCTACCGCCAGCCCAGAAAGTAACTCAGTACCCCGTTTTCCCCATTGTCTCTTCCCTCCCTGGAACCACAGCGTCCCCAATCCGCATCCCTTTTGGCAGAAAAAGAGGTGAAGTAATCGACCTCCCCGGCCTCGCCCGTGGGTAGCCTAGGAGATTTTGTCAAAGACGACTATAAACCAGACCTAATCATGAAAAAGCGCATAAAACCCGAACGTCTGACACTGAAACCCAAACAATCTCTTGTCCTCGGTGGAGGACTCGTCCGCATCACACCCGCTGATGCTGACAAATTTATCATTCTTGCCGCACCATTTGTCCCCATACAACCACACGTGACGTCGACTGAAAAGGCAATTCTCATGCAAGCAGAGCAGCGTGACGTGCCCAACGTCCCGAGAATCGCCAAGGAAGGAATTGCAGAATCTATACAATCTGCTGGTGTATTTGAGATTAAGGGGGATGTTACGAAGACGTATGGCAAACCAACGTCGCTGTCGTTGGATAGGAAGCGAAAGAAACTGCTAAATACGTTACCGTATCGGGTTCTGTCGACGGATATTCTAATTGAAGGGTGCGGGTGGGTAGAGCTCATTGCGCAAGTGCGCAAGAAGGATCTGGAAGCTGGGTTTATGCCGAAGGTTGAGGTATTTACTCCAACGGGGAAGTTTGTGGGGAATCGAATGCCTATGTGTGCGTATTCTTTTTTGCTTGAGAAACAGCAGAGATCTGCCAAACGTCGGGCAAAAAGGCCGATGAGGATTATGAAGAGGGCTAAGCGGTCTGCCAAGCGGTCAGGCAATTAAATGCTTTTCAAAAGCGTTGTATTATTACATTTCTTTTGGTTATGAACGTGTAAAATATAAACAAAACTGAACGATCTGACGAGCAAATTTTTTATAGCTCTTATTGTTGGTTAGGCGGTATTATATCCCTTTTTTGGGTTCAGCATTTTTGTATAGTTAGATGTATTTCAGTATAGAATCTAAGCATTGTTTGAGGGAATAAATTTGGTCTTCGTCACTTGACAAGATTTACCCCAGCATTTATGAAAATCTATCCTCTTCTAATTCTTGGTTTTATGGTCTTGCTCTTTAAGACTAACCCTTTTAGATCTTCAAATGTCATTTATTCCTTAATTTTCTCCCCACGTACCTTTATGGTGAAGTCCATCCTGAACAAACAAGGGGGGGGTTAAAAAGCGCACAGTCACGACTCACAGGCTTAAAATAGGTGAGAAACCAAAAAGAAATAGAATCAAAATCATAAAAAAAGGGATCACGCCCCATCCACCTCAGAGATATTCTCGAAATGGAACGTAGGTTGTCCAGGAACCGCATTCTCCGCAATCGCTGGCAGCCCTTCCCTGGTCTCGCCATTCAATGTTACGCCAGCCTTTCCACCCTCCTCGACAGCCACGACCTCCACAATCTTGCACCCAGTGGTCCTAATAAGGCCCGCAACCATATCACCCAGAGCCTGGAGCTCATCAAAACCCAGAGCCCGGTTAAAGACAGTCTCCGGCTGTTCCTTAGCAGTAATCAATCTCTTCTTCAATCCCTGCACGAACGGCATGGCCTTCTTCATCTCACCTAATTTGCTCACTTTGCCGTTGAGCTCCTTATCGTTGATGGAGAGGGAGACGGCATCGAAAGCTTCGCGGACAAGATCAATATATTTCTCTTGCCAGCTGGGGAATTTCTTGGCGGCGAAAATGGTAAGCTTCTTTGGTTTGCGGGGGTCGAAGTTCACGGTTTTGCCTTTGGAGAGTTTGCGGACGAAGGTGGCTTCCGAGGAGGTGATGTTCGATGCGGTTGTGCGGACATATATGAGAGCGGCGGAAAGGGCGGGAGATGGTCCGGGGACCTCAGGGAAGAGGGCGTTTTGGATAGTATCGGGCTATTCAGGAGGGTGAAACAAAAGTGATTAGCTATCTTGGATATATTCTCAATGGAAGTGGGAAACGGGTAGAAACTAACCTTCTTGAGCACCTCCAGCCACACATATTCAGACCAGTGAGGGGTAATTGGAGTAAGGAGAAGGGCTTGAAGCTCGATGTAGCGGAAGAGCACATCACGGTGCATGCCGATACCAGCTGCTGTGGTTGACTCCCGATAAAAGTCTCTTGCGCTGGTGAAGTCGTAGAGAGCACTCTTCAAAGCAAGTTTGAAGTTTGTACTGAGGAAGGATTTCCAGTTAACAATACGTATCAAATGAAGTAAGAGTGAGCGCGAACTTACTCTGCATAATGCTTCCTTGCCTCTCGAGCTAAAACATTCAGTTCATTGTCGAACAATTTGTCGAAGAACGCATCAGCGGGCCCAGTACGGAGAGAGTCATCTTTCGCGACCTCTTCGATCCATTCCTTTAAAGTAAACAAACGCAGGATATTACTATTGGCGACTGACTCTTCAAAGTTTGCGTCTTCAATCGCATCACCCGCATCCGCAAAGGCAATTCGTGTGGCATCCGCACCGTATTTATCCACTGCATCCTTCAGAGTCAAGAAATTGCCTGTACTCTTGCTCATCTTCTCTCCGTTTAGTAGCAAGTGGCCATTGACTCTTATAGAACGTGGCCAATACTCCCGCGGGAAAAGAGCGGCGTGAACATACAAACAAAATGTGAGATGGTTCTGAATAAGGTCTTTGCCCGAAACCCGAACATCGAGAGGATACCAGTATTCAAACTCTCGCCGCATGGTAAGCAATGCGTCTTTGCTAATACCAGTTGCTTGGATCAAATCATCTCCAAAATCTCTCCTGGTGAAAACATAATCCCATATTTCGTCTGTCATTTGCTCAGGCTTGATACCGAGGCGGCCCGGCTCCTTTCCGTATCTATCGGCATGTAGAAGGTGAGCAATAGTATAGTATGCTTGGTAGATCGTACTGTCACTTAAACTTTCGACCAGGAAATGTGGATCCCAAGGCAGTTTGGAGCCTAGCCCATACGTTCTTGCACACGCCCATCGATTAAGCCACTCAAGGTTCTTTTCGAAACCGTGACGAGCCTCCTCTGAATACGTGTTTAGTGGCCCTTTGACATAATCAAGAGTCTCATTTTGCCATTGTGGATCGTTCTCGCCGTAATTCAAGAACCATTGACCAAGGTATGCTACTACGCACTCGTCATTGCTTCTGCTGACTACCTTTCCCGCGGGGTCCGCGAATGGGAACGCGTCACCACTCTTGAAGAGAGATTGACGGACTTTTTCTTTGGCCTCTTGAACAGGCTGGCCCTTAAACTCTCCATGAAGCATTGTGCCTTTGTAAAATCCTTCCGAGTAGGCCAGTTCCTTGGCTTTTGCAAGTTGAACAGTATCCTTAGGTGAATTGATCTTGAGTTGTTTCACCAAGGTTGGTGCGGTAAGACTCCCATATGTGGGGGTTTCAATGATAGGAAGGATCTCCAATTCAGCCCATTCCTTTTTAATGCCGTGGTAATCTGCTTTCTTTGAAAGATCGACAACAGTAGCATAATCATCGGGACTGTCTGATGGCACTGATGTAACTACACCAGTCCCCTTGGTAGCGGACACAGTGTCCATAGGAAGTATTCTGACACCTTCAGTATGAACGGAGAGAGGCGCATTGACCAAAGTGCCAACGAATGCCGAACCAGGAGCTTCAACGACAGGCTCTAGTTCGCTCTGGTCTCGCGGGAAGTTGCTGCTGTCGAAAAATGTGCCTTGGAAAGCCATATTCCAGGCAGCGCGTTTAGTAACGACATAATATTCCTTATCACTGACTTTGTAGAGACCGTAAATTATCTTGGGACCAAGAAAACAGCACGTTTGTCCGTACATAGTTTCAGGACGCAGAGTAGCAGGCACGAAGTACACATTGGCGTCAGCCTCAATCTTGTCCTTCACGAGCTCTTGGACAGCTGGTGACCATTCTTTGACCTTAAGTTTCAGAGCTGTATATTCTTGTGGACCAACACCTTCTCCCTCAGTCCGGTCGTGGTCCATACACGGTTGCCCATCCTTGGGTGAATAGATAGTATACCGGTTTCCATACAAAATTTTCCCTTGCTCGTGAAGGCGATTCATCTGCCAGCGAGTAAACGCGTCATAGTAAGGGTTGGCATCCGTGGTCACGAACTGTCTCCGCCAATCGATCCTGGCTCCCAGGCTATCGAGGTCCCGTACACACAGCGGTGGGAAGAATTCTAGCCAGTGAGCGGGATCCGCAAACTTATGGACTTCTTCAAGGGGTATACCCAACGCCAACATAATTTGGAACTGGTACTTCAGCTTCACCGTCTTGGCAGCGGCTTTACTCTTCTTCCCGGAAAACCTAGTAAGATCTTCCTTTGTTTCCTGAGTGGGAGCCGGTGGCTCATCTGGCTCACCATCTTCGTCAGTATATCTCTCGAAAAAGTTCCCGAATTTCTTAATGTCGTCCACCAACTTATCAGCACAGGCTTTGATAGGCATCCCTGTGCAATGGAAACCGAGGGGGAATAGAGCTCTCTTTCCCTCCATTCGCGCAGTTCCCGCCATGAACTCTACTTTGCTAGCAGTAAAACTGTGGCCCGCATGCAAAGTTCCATTCATATATGGGTATGCCATGGTGCCAAAGAATTTTGGGAACTTTTCCCTGAGGTCTGCAGGGGAGATCGAGTCCGGAGGGATTTCGGATATCGAGGGGGCATCGACTTCGAAGACCTTGTTCGCCTTCCATTGCGCCTGGTATTTCTTCTCAATCGCGATGAGGGTGTCTCTTTTGTCCGTCTAAACCATTCATATTAGCAGTGACCTCCTCGACTCATGCTGCGGGGCAGAGTCCATTCACATTCTCAAGCTTCAGTGTATTTTTAGCGCTATTGCTGGCATCCAGCGCTGCAGCTGCAGCTGCAGCTGCGGCCATAGTTCCCAGGTAAGAAGAATCAAAGAACAATTTAAAAGTTAGGTGCAGTAAAGTTTGATATGTTGCGAAGTTCGAGTCTTCTCATGGTCGGTCGGTGTTTTTCACATCGCATCAAAAATTAGCGGAGCCCAATCGTTGCTGACTAAGCACATTTTCCGGGCTCGGCCAAGCTGTCAGGACTTTATATTATCCGATCCATCGTTGAAAAACTTCGATATACAGATGTGTGCATTCAAGAGCTGTCAATTTTTGGCTAACACCAATTGACGACGATTGCCTCACACGGTGCTCATCGCAATTTTCCCAATTATTTAGTCACTGCCTTCAAGGACCGTATTTTTGTGGAGGAAGCGGAGCAGCCGGCATCATGGTGTCCCTCGTGAAGCGGATGCGAATTCTAAGAGAGGTCAGTTGAAGACAGCATATATTCACCTAATTGAAGCACCTAAATTTGTTCTATGGAAGATACATTACTGACAATTTCCTTCTTGTCCTGTAGAAGGTAGATAGATTTTCCGTTTAATCTCCCGGATTTCCACGTCACTTTTACACTGTCAAAACTACCACGCTTCCCGTCACCGTTAATCATAACCTGATCCACGGAATGATATATGGAAAGAAAATACTAATAGATGCCTCCCGCATCTTAGCTGTTAAATATGCGAGTTGGACTCGGTGCCGCCATACTCCCCAAACCCTCCTCTAACCCCAGATTTCTCCCCTTAACCCGTATTCATATCACCTACGCCCGCAAAGTCTACGAAGGCCACGGAGGCGCGCGGAAATTCTGGCGTATCTGCCTTCCCAGGTTAAAATACCACAACCCAGCGCTTTTCATAACCGTGAAACAGACAAAGTCACAAGAAGGACCGGCCATCCTATCGTTATACTTCAATAACAAAGCGGTTGCCGAAGCCAGCGGACAAACAACACCTACACCTCCCCCCCCCCCTCCTCAACTAGAGGGAGAAGAGCAACTATCAGATTCCTTCGCACCACCTCCGGCTGAGTGGGAAATAGTAAGGACTATTAATTTAAAGAGGAAGACGATTGGGCGTATCTGGGAGGACTTCAAACTGATGACTGGCGTGGAGGAGATCCCGATCTCACCGGAGGATCAGGCGGAGATCGAAAAGGTGAAACGTCAAAGGGAGTTGAGTGATTTGGATCGCAAGAGGGTGGCGGAGAATAGACAGATGATCAAGGATCAGGAAAAATTGCTTGAGGCTTCGAGAGAGGATTTGAAGAAACTGAGGGAGCAAGCATAGAGACTCTGTTGGGGATTATGAAGGAGGGTGTACAAACCCGCCTTTCCCTGTTTCCTTCCATCTAAGCTGTTCATTACAGACTCATTTCAAGTGTAACTTTCTGGTCTTTTTCTGTTTTTTGGGCGGTAAGGAGTTAAAAGATGTTTAATTGACGTTTTGCATTCTCGTTCCCAATCAGAGGGGTCGATGATCTCACTTATTAAATATACGTGTATAGGACGATGTATAGGACGATAAATAAATCAGAATTCCAGGATATGCTGTAGCATGAATATCGGCACACGCCGTATGAAATCTGGGATATTTTGACGTTGACTAGGCTGCCGGAAATACCATCAGCAAATACTAACGTGTTGGGGGGTGGGCGGGAGGGTGTTTCGATTTTCAAGGAACATGGATTAAATATTGAAGAATACAATGCTATATCAATAACAAAGAACGCCATCACCATCGCCAGCATCATACCCTAATACAATCATGATAGAAGGGAGAAAGAAAGGAGGAAAAAAAAAAAAAAAAAAAAAGGGGGAGTGAATCCAGTGTTTGAAGCCGCTGAGAAAGCAGACACGTTCCAATATGGTCACCAAAGGGAAGAGGAAAAAAGGCAGGGCGTTGAAATTGAAAAAAATGAAATAAAAAATAATAATGAAAATGAAAATGAAGCAATGATAACCCTTTCGTCTAGAAAAGTCGTTTAAAATGAAATGATCCATAAGGTTAAGGTGCATGGAAATGGATAATATAGTGGGGAATGTTACGGCAAAAGGTTGCCCGAGGTCATGTCATGAGGGGAGGGATACACAGAAGCAAGAGTAAGGGGGTGAAAGAATATACACATGAGATTCGAGCAAGGCACAAATCCAAACCTCAAATCCCCCTCCCAACTAACTTGCCACGGGCTGAAGGATAATAGGGCTGGAATCATTCCCTACCTTTATCCTCTATGCTCGCAAAAATGGGCAGGAGTCCGAGAATAAGTGTAAGAAGAGAATTCATAAAGTAGAGCCATCATTTCCATTCACATGCAGGGAAACATAAGGTAGCTACAAGATGTGAAAAAAGTCAGCGACTTGATTATTGAACATTTTGTTTTGGGTCCGTTTTCTCATTACGAATGGTCTGGCGTATAGTTCGTTTCACCCAACATGCTCTGTCCAGGGGCAACAGACGGGGCTGCTGGCTGCGGCGATGTTTGTCGTTGCTGTTGTGGTGGTGGAGTTGAATGCGCCGGACCCGCACTTGCAGATGTCTGTGACGGCCTGTTCCCCGTAGCTGCCTGAAGCCGTTGATCCAGAGCCTTTAGCGCAAGCGCTCTGCGTCGCTCAGCTTCCTCCCGCTTACCCGTACCCCTCCCGCCACCCATCCTGCCATTGTTCATGAAACTGGGAAGTCCTGCCTCGCCACGTGCCATCGCCCGCTCGTTGCCTGATGCGATATCCTCGTCTGAGAAGGGCGTGCAGATACGAACGGTGATGAGAAACAAGTATATCTTATCCGTGACGAAGGAGATGGCGGGCTGAATGGCGTCTGGGAAGAAGTTGGCGAAGGCGAAAGTTTCACTGGCGTCTCCCTTGATTCCGTGGCCGTTGGTTGAGGTGCCGGAGAGATCTGGTTGGCGTTTATAGAAGCGGAGATATGTCCAGCTGGAGAGAAGGCCGAGCCAGCTTAGATTCAGTGCGACGTCGGTTCCGAGTATGAGGCCGCCAATGGCATTGAGGAGGAGGAAGAGGGCTGGGAAATGCTTGACGCGCATTTTCACGAGGCCTTTTAGAATCGTTACCGTGTGTTCCGGGACTAGCTGATTGAAGGCTACGAGGAAGGCGGCTTGTATTGATATACCGCCAGATATTCCCTTAGCACTGTGGAGAAAGCAAAGTACATAAGTTAACAACAGGCTTTGTATTAAAGAAAATAAATGTTCCAGAGGCGAAGAGTGGGAAAACGTACGCAACCCCGGAATTTGATGTAATCCCCGCCCAGAGTATGTAAAGGAACACCATAACAACATTCGGCATCAACGCAACGACAAGAATAAATTTCGCAAACTCCCGAGATCCCCAGGCCCGTTCCAGATATTTCCCACCATAAAGCACCGTCGCACCAGTAATTATGACGGTTAAAATGTTCTGCTCCAGGAAGGTCGCGGTCAAGAGCGTCCAGGGATAAAATAGAAAATTAGACGGGACCAATGTCAAATAGGGAATCGGTGCGCCTGGTGAGCCTTCATATTTTCTCCATCTGGCAACGCCGTTCAGAAAGGATAGGGCGCAGATGGCGCTGAGAATGGCCCGGGTAATAGGGGGAATATTTATTCGCGGTGCCATTGAGGGACAACTATTCGGGGGCAGGAGTGTCTGGGGATATATTTATGATTTTCCCGATACCACTGGGCTGACAGTGGCTGAGACCACCCGTCGTGGGCTGCGTATTGAGCAGGATTTTGACTTATTGTCAAGGGGATTCGACGTTAACGTTCCAAGTTAAATCGGTTGTTGCCAGAATATCCTCAAGTTCGATGTTGCTTGGGTGAAGATTGGAATCACATGACTACGTTTTCTTGTCCAAACTCCGACCTCAAATAAGGATAGTTGATCACGAATGAACCACTATGTCAAACAAGAACTATGCTCAAACAGTTTTTTCCCCTCAGTGCGAAGAATATGATGCTGGTAGTTGTGTAACCCACGGATTAATCATTGGAAACTACAGTTGAATGCTATGCCGCGCATATCTTCTGATCATACAGAGAGCCCCAATTTGAGGGCACTGACGCCCCTATCACCATTGCCGCTGGAGATACACATAACGTTTTGCATTTTGACAGGAGCCTGCCTGTTAGCGGAACCAGGTGCTCGGCCATTCACGGGCCGACATCTTCGAACGCTACTACATCTCGCAGAAGGTGAAGCGGGATGTTGAGTCTGCATATCTTGGATGTCCGGCTCGCGAATTGGTCATCCGTGCTGTGGGAATGATGAACTTGACATGGGACCCAAGGGTCCAAAAGGACTTGACGGATGAACAGAAATCTACCATCGACCAGCACCCTTGTCTTATCGAACTCGGCCGACAAAAGCAGAATCTGGTAAGTGATATGAAATGCCAATACGGATCCGTCCCAAAGGCTCAAACCATCCAGAGTGAGAGACGATTCCTGAGGAAATGTGCGAGGGACGAGATCCGCGAACGGTTTTTCGCGCAGATTGACACCATTGAGATTGAACATCAGCTTCTGGGATTATCTCTGCCCGATGATCTCAACGTTGAGGACGCGGATGATGTTCGCTTCGCGTCTGCTGAACGAGCCTGCCTCGCACGTAGCCTCTTTCAGCCTCTTAGTAGCTCTGTCCATAAAACATGTGAGCTCCACGGTCGTCGGGTGCAGGTCATCCGTGACTGGACCGCGCTCTGTGGCCTGCAGGGGGTTCCTTACAAGCAGAAGGCTTCACTTGGCGACCTCGTAACCTTGAAAGGGGAGCTCAAGCCGATAGACGTTGATATATTTCCGATGATCTGTCCAGCCACTCAATGCCTGTTCTGTCTTGGGAATGAACAGTGGGCATGCAATTTCAGTCCGTATTCATTCTCACGTACAGAAAAGATGCGGAGACATGTGTACGATTGCCACCTCCGCTATCTGGCCTCGGATGCTTGTTTTCCATGTCCTCATCCAGTCTGTTCAGAGAATGTGCGGGGCATCGCCTAATTCAAAGATCATGCCGCTTTGATACATGGGATCAATCTTTGAGCTGTAGCGAACTGCCTTAGCTGTATCTGGCTTGCTGGTCAAGCCGAACTTCTTTCCACATTTCTCCTTTGTCACTATACTTTTGCACGAGTCATGTACCCAGAATCGCGTCTAATTTTAACCTTTTATAGCATCACGATATCCCCAGCCAAGCTGTCCGGCAAGGTCAGCTGCTGCATGTATATTCGCCTGGTCATAGCGAACAATGGCTCAATTTTTGGACGGGAGCGAGCAGACCGGCATTGCGTCGAGAATAACACTGTCTGCAACTGTGATCTCCATGTCTCCAAAGTAATGAGGAACAGCGGCACGCGATAGGATAAACGAGTAGAGTAAGAACGCGCATTTATGGATGATTGAAGAAAACTGCCTTTTCATCAAATATAATTTAAACAGTTTAGATTATTACAAACATTATCAGAAAACGTAGAAACCTGCAGAAGACGCATCCTTTGAAGGGATAATTATTTGGCATCGCATACGTGGCTTAGCATCGCCGGACGCGATTATCACTTCGCTCTGCCCTCACCCTGTACGGGGAACCTGGGTCAGGGGTTTAAATTTGCGAATTTCCACAATTCTTTTTTGGAACATGATCAGAACTTACTTGGGAGGCCCCGCATTTAGGCTACCATAACAGGTGGCTCCGAAAATGGCTCCCATACATAGCGAACCTGTCTGGTCACCCTTCCAGAAACACTTTGTGTTTATCCTTGATCAACATTGAGATTAAGAACATGCAACATAGCCTCACTCGACTTAAATTGCAGACCAACTCGCCATTTTCCTCCAAACTGACAAAAATTGTTATCTCTCTTAGTTGCTGATGCTATTCTGTCAGTGGCAGAAAGCTGTGACTTGAGACAGTTACAGCATTGCTTTGCTTTTTTTCCCTTTTTTACTTATTTATTTATTTTCCCAACTACTTTCGGGACGTCACTTCATGACGACAGATCTGGTTTAGTAGAGGCCATTAACTTATGCCTCTCTACATTTAATACAGATTTCAAATAGGGCATAACCACTTCCAAACAATGATAATCTGCACCTTGTCTTTGATGCCATGTCACCTTCACTTGAGTGCACAATCCATGGCTGTCACTATGAAGGATAGATGCCTATGGACAGAGTTGGGTCCGGGGTAGACTTGCCGCGCAGAATTACGCTTTCTCCTAGCACTTCCATGTCGTGGAGCGCTACCCCATCGGTGAGATCAACGTAAATATGGACCTTGGCTTGACCTGGGGTCATCGAAATCGAGCAATGACACTCGTCTGGTAGTTTCTCACCGGTTGCGGTGACGGTCGTCGTGTTATGAAACGAACCCCTAAGAGACAGTTAGGATACTGGACTAATAATAGATTAGAACATGGATAACGGCACACATGATGCGAACTCCGGTTTTCCCAAGTCGTTTAGCACTCGCATAAGCCACCTGCTCAGTGGCATCTTTCAAGGCGGCCTGATCCACTTTGAATACTTTGGCATTGTCAGGCAGGTTGGTAATTGCGTTAGGGCCCCATTTGACGGTAATGCCATCGATCGTGCCCTCGTAGGAATCGGCGGGAAGATGATTGGGAAAGGACATGGTTAGGGATTTTTGTTGAAGGCTAGCGGAAGCGAATAGGTCTCCCAACACTAATGGGGGAGAGTAGGAAAGGAAGAGGGCTTCTCCGAAAGGGTGAATATCAGGAATGGGGAGTAAGACCAGAGTAGTTGGGAGGTTAAGGGCCGGGGTGTTCGCAGTGAACAGCATTCGAGATGTTTGAGAGATAAAAATCAGGAAAAACTCGAGACAGATGGGAAGAATGACAGACTTCATATATTCAACAGATGTTGAACTAACCCGGGGCCACTGCCTCAGGGTTAACAAATGCCGCTGCTCTTCCTCACTTCAGTAGAATGAGCGGCAAGCCATGCAAAGACTAATCAGGGTGCCTGAAAAGACTCGCACTCACCAACCCTTTCAGCCGGGTAATTTTAGTATGTGAAATTTGCAATCAGTTGGTTGACAGAAGATGGTCTTTCTGTTTTTGTAGATGGTTTCGCTTGCCGCCCTGCCATTGTGCTCAGTGAGTAGCACATGTTTGGTCTGCAAGCATTTGGCTTGCCTCAGGTTTTGGCCAGGCCACCGTACATAGTCCAAGAGCTTATATTCCTTCCTCCTGAGGCATCTTTGGTGTAGCTAGCTGCCTTAGCACATCTATGATTGTGCACTCGGGAGGTTATCATCCAGTCGACTTGATAGCCTTAAAAAAGACCAAACTGGATCGGGGTCAAAAGCGCAGTCAAGTACAAGAGAATCGAGTCGGCGCTTAGAGAAAGTTGTCAAAGAACTAATAATAGAAGGGTATCTCCACGGCAAGGCTGCAAGGCAACCCTCACTCGGTGGTTTGAATCCATAATTGAGTGGCTGAATCAATTGAATGGTAGATCCCCGAGCGACCTGAATCGCGCGACATACCGTCACAATTCACATTCGTGCTATCTCCAGAAGGTTGTTGTGGGCAAGTGAAACTCGGAAGAGCCTCAATAGGTGCCAAGGATGCAGTAGGGATTGAAATGGGCAGCAAGAAAGTGATCCTAATGGGCCTAATAGGTTGAGCGAATGGACAAGATGGGAGATGGGGTTTGAGTCTGCGTCGGGGTTGGTCATTTAAGGGGGGAGATACTTAAAGTTGACGACTTTTCGCGGGAACAGAGGTTGGCCTCGAGGTTCAAGGTCACCTGATAGAATCAACAATATTAATACCAGTACAGTACGAAAAAAAAAAAAGTACATATTCAGCCTCTTCTCCCTTTACTATATCTCCCGCGAGTAGCTTTAAGCGTTTGTGCGGCTTTCTTCTTTGTGGCTACCAAACCCGCGATGACATGCTCGCTCGCCTTACTCCCTGAACAACTCCACCGTCACCCCCTCTGGCATCGATACAGCAGCAGCAACCCCAATACCCCAAGGGCAATGACATGGCAGACTTCGGCGACTTTGTGAGCACTGAGGACGAGGAACTTGACCTCGAAGAGGTTGTCGAGCCCTGGCAAAAGTACGATATAAAGGAAACTCCACATGTCTTCTATCCCATTTGTGTCGGAGAAGTGCTCAATGAGAGATACCTGATAGAGCACAAAATCGGCTCTGGAGGCTTCTCCACCGTCTGGATGGCCCATGACCTTCAGGATAAGAGGGATGTAGCCCTCAAAGTCATGTCTTCGGGGGAATGGGAAGAAAATGAAATCCGCATGCAGGATGAAATCCTTCAGAATGTACAGGACACCTCTCACCTGGTGACATATTTGGCGACCTTTCTACTCCCTGGAGACAAGTGTCATCACCGGGTCCTAGTGTTTCCCTTGATGGGCCCATGCCTTTACCCTGTTATCCTGAGAAAGATGTCCATGACCACTCGCATGTCCGCTGCTAAGCAATTGCTAGAAGCAGTGGAAAGTTTACACAAAGCCAGAATTGTACACCGCGGTGAGTTAACTCTGCCTCCCACTCTCTTTCCTGTTGATGCGCATTTTTAATGCATATTTAATAGATTTGAATGAGAGGAATTGTATGTGGGGGATGGTTCCTCTCCACAATCTCAACAGGAGTGCTAAATACAAGACACTCGGTCGGCCATTAAAGCAGATCATACCATTCGTCGACCTCTGGAAGCAGGGAGAGCTTGTTCGGCCCATTCAGATCCCTGAGGACTTACGCACAGAGGAATTCTATCTCAGTGACTTTGGTCTGGCGATGAAACTTGGCGACCCCGTGACTCAACACGGCTATCCGCCTATGCAATTTTGCTCCCCAGATCGATTTCATAGGAAAGATCCAAGTCTTGCCTGCGACATGTGGAGTTACATGGTCATCTTCGCAGAGCTTTACCTTGGCCATCCGCCTTTCCCTACCTGGCTTAAGGGTGGAATAATAACTGGTATCGTCAGATGTTTGGGTCCACTACCTGAGCAATGGAAGGGCCTTTACACTCAATCTGGAGGCCTTGATTCCTGGTATGATCAGCATAAAATACCCGATCCAAATCATGAACTTGCATCAACAATTGCATACTTTTGTCCCGAAGCTGATCCAATTGAGCGAAAACATGTGCACTCCATTATGTCTAGAGTATTTACTTACTGCCCAGAGAAACGTCTGACCGCAACACAGCTTCTGCGGGACCCTTCATTCAGAGCTATCATGGACAAGTATGGTTGTTGATGTTATATTATTCTCTTGACTTCCTGTGCTGCGTTGTTGTTTCTTTCTTGCATGCTCTGGGGTTTCTCTTTTTTACTTTTCTTTCTCCTGAAGGGATCGTCTTTTTTGCTTCAAGAATGTGAACGCAAGCTTTTTCGGTTACGTACTGCGTACTTTGTATTTAGAGAGTCTGTCATGAAATACATACATGTAAACTATATTTTTTTAATGCTTGTCACAATGAATCTGAAGTGAACAATCAACATATGTGGCCACACTGTAATCACAGTTCATTCACAACTACAATCCTAGTGCAAACTTCGTTCGAATATGTGGGTGGTCTGGCATATTTCTCTGAATAAAATACTGCGAAATAGGCCCAACACCTCTCATGTCTATGTAGGACCTGACAACTATATCGGGTGGCAGATTATACAGGTATTCGTGCACAAAATGACCAGTGAGGGAGTGCCTGCCGATGAAGCATGAGATAGCGTATTTCTAGAATGAGTTGCTGGTATATTGTTCTGTTGGCTTTCGCTGGCCCCAGCTGGGGGCGAGGATCCCACGGATGAGGTTACCAGGGAGGCCCAGGTCGATGCAGTTGGGCTGGATATGCTGGAGATTGTTTCTTCCATCTTAGCAGTCTTTTCGCTAAGAGTGTTACATATGGTGCGGATCTCAATAATCGAATTCTGAAGTGCTCCATTTGCTTCCATTATCTTCGCGTTTATCTCGCACAAATTTTGGTTTGAACTCTGTAGTTCATCCACTTTCTTGATCAGATGGCGAGCCAGCATGCGATGAATGGACGGTCGGCGAGGGTTACCGGCGCTGGTAGTTATATAGATAGATAGATAGACCCAGCCCAACTCGCAAGGCTGGACCTTGGCTTCTTGAAGGCGAGCCCTGCAATGGCTAGCAGGGCCTTCAGCAGTGCAATTCAAAATAGAACCGCAAGAAAATTAGTGAGTGGCGTTCGATAACAACGAGCTAGGCATAACAGGATCTACTTGATGGTGATGTGGCTCTGAGTGGGATTATAAATGCTGAAGGGCACCAATCGCTTACCCATATTCGGGACCAATCCAGGGCTTTGAGCGATGCTGGAGAGTGGGTGACAAAGTATGAAAAATATCCATGAAGTATATCCTAATATCTCATACAACACCCGGCCAAATTTGCATTATTCGACTAGCTTAGTAAGATAATATTCAATTATGGGGCAGCAGATGGCTGGGGCAATTCGTCTGCTTCGGATCATATTCTCAGACTAGGGTACACTTACGATGCAGAAAACTAGTCAGAATAGAGGACAAAAATTGCTATTGATTCTATTCAAATAATTGAATGAATCTATTCAAGCCATGCAACTGGCATCATCACTCGGCATATTAATGTCTCTTTGACCTTTGACCCTTTGTGCTTCAGCCCCGTTGGAGGGGTCCTCAGCACCCTAGCGAGCCTTCCCAACCGCTGGCATTCACTCTGTGAGGAGCGCAAGAACAGCGTAGCTCTCCATGGAAAGCGTGGTTTTCCAAATATCATAGTGAGCCCTACGGGTTTCAGCGAGATTATGAGGTGTGCATAGGGGTACGGAGATTCTATGCATAGAAATGATTGGATGCGAAGGGCACGGGCTCCAGTCAGGGTTAATCTTGTCGGGGAGACGGGTAGCAATGCATTCACATGGATGTGGTCAATGGTGATAACAAGAATAGGCTATATATATATATGGTTTGAAGGATCTAATGTTGAGATTAACCGTACACACTATTTCAAGGAAACAAAGTTTCTCTTCCGCTACCGTCCTTACCACTGTCGCGGCTTCTTCGTCCGTGATGATCTCCTGACCTGTGGAGAATGGGACGCCGCCCGCTTCCTCACCTGGGAACCCCTGCTCCCACTCCCGATGTCTAATTTCTCCTTGTATTGCTTGAGCTGATCTGGAGCAATCTGTGCCAACTCATCCTCTGTCCACCATGCCGGTGCCCACAGAAGATATTCAAGGCACCCGTCTCCAGCCTTGCGGCACATGAGGAATATGAGGGCTGCCCGGGTCTGGACTGACGCAGGTTGAAGGGGACTCGCTGACTGTAGTAGGTGTCTCCTTCAAGGGCCCATCCACGGAGACATCATCGGCGAGCTTAGTGGGAAGAGATAGTAGCGGTTCAACGTTCTCCTTGTCACTGCCCTCGCTGACCGTGCCCGTGTAAGACACTCTGTGACCGTCAGGATATGACTCTCTGGAACCAATGGTGCTAGAAAAGCTCGCCTTCGCTCGTCATGGCCGCTATTTCCTCCAGAGATTGCTGTACGGGTTCCGTCGGGCAGGGGCCTGATTGCTCCTGCACTTACGGGTCCGTCTCCCTCTCCGCGTCCCGCAGCGGCATATTCTCAACATCTCTTCCAGTTCCAGTCTCACTATTGCTCTCAGGCTCAGTATCGCCATCCAGGTGTTCAGCTCCTCGATCTTCGTTGAGAGGCTGAGTGTCGTGTTCTTGATCCATAACATTCTCTAGATCGATTGGGTTGTCGGGCGAAGATCCAGGCTCTGTATCAACCGAGCGAGAGGGAGAATGATGTCGGCGTGGTATCCGCTGCGGAAATTGGTCCACAGTAGAGAGGGTTCGAATCTGCGAAGCTCTGGGGATCACAGAAGCTCGTTGAGGAATCTTGATCAAAAACACTGGGAATCAGAACTAGGTCTCGATTGCGACCCAGAGCGCTTGTACCTACCTGGAATTTCGTTCATCTGGCGTCGCATTTTTCGGTGCACGAGGACCTTCTGGACGAAAGTCAGGGGGAAAGCGAAAAAGACATCTCTGCAAAAGAGAAAAGATGCAAATTATGGCCTGTTACGCCGAATGGGTAACTCAATCGTGGAGCAGACGGTCTTGGATGAGGAAGAAAGGCGCCTTTTATCCATTTGCAGGTCCGACATGGAGTGCCTGAAGAAGCAACGCTTCCCTTCCTTTTCTGGCTTCTATCCTCAATTTCCCCTCAACGCATGCGACTCCTCAGCCGCTCCCAGTCCAGGGAGCCTCATTAGAATGGTTGTCGCCCGTAATATCCAGAGATCTCACTGCTGCCAGTAAGGGTGGACCAAAAGCGCCGTAATTCATGCGTAATTCTCCTTCTTTTGCGTCTGGCATTTTCTGCCGCCTGCGCGGCGATGGGTAGAGGAAAAAAAAAAAAAAAAAAAAAAAAAAAAAAAAAAAAAAAAAAAAAAAAAAAAAAAAAAAAAAAAATTGCCCCCTGTCCACCACTGTCAACCAGACAATATCATCTCGGTGATCAAGTACCACTCAGGCTGCAAAGCATCCACGCTCGCTGTGAGCTCTGGAGAACCAACAGGGAACGCCGTCGATACCAACTCCGCCTTGTTGTGACAAAATGCACTGCTACGGTTGCAGATCAACCATCCATTTTCCGTTTCCATGCCCGCCGCTGCAGGATCTGCCTTACATATCCTCGCAGTACGAGCAGCGACCCCAAACTAAGGAGCCAACGAAAGCCGGAAGCGCCCCTCTCACGGAGGATACAGCTGAGTGTTACGGAGCAACTTCTGCCCGTCCACGCACCACCTGAGCATGGATCATAGCAGAGTAGAGCCGAGACCAAGGAAGACTGGCGAAATCCCTGCCCCTTTTAGCAACAATGCCTGATTAATCGGTGACACAAAAGATTGCGTGTCCTTGCTTTTTCAGCTGAACAGGGGAGGCCCGAAGCCGACACGTAATTTCTGGGGTGTAGTAAGGTAGTCATTGTACTTGATGTGTGGGATGTTCTCTTTGGCGGCGCGCAATCTGAAGGAATGGTCACCAGCCGTACATCGCAATCTCCACAATGACGGTGGAACACCGAACTTTGCGCTATTGGGAAAAGAGGATACAAGATCAAGGGCAACAAGTAGAAGCCACACAGCAGAGACGGGTAATAGGCAAGTAAAATAAAAACCACAGGTCCCAAAATGACAAATCACTCAAATAGCACTGCTATCTTTGAGTTCGGAAAACCATCCAGTAGTTGTTGTTGGATGCGACGGGAAAATGAGGCGGCAAAAGAAGGGAATCACCGCAGCCAGCCACGAATTGTCGCACCCCAAACCGCCCCAGTAGCATGCCTCAATTTCCACACGGTCTAAGATTGGACCGTCGGTGTTTGCGATGTTGCATCGGGGAAGGGGAAGTGGAAACGATCAATGGGCCTAGAACTGTTCAGCTGCGGCGCCGCTGAGCCGCGTGACACCGACGGTGGAGCCAGAAAGAAGGAGACAGGGAGAGAGGGGAGAGCATCGTGAGGAAAGAAAGGGGAAAAAATAGGGAAGATGGAGGGGAGATGTTCGAGCGGCGGGAGGAGGAGGTTTATATAGTCTAGAAAGCGGCGACATGGGCCCTTACCCGATCTGGGTGGCGCTAAACCCTACGAGGGCAAACTCCCCATGATGCGATATACCCCAAGTCTTAGGATAGAGAATGATTTCGAATCGTCGCAGAGATGCAGTAGCAGCGTTGGCCGATTTGGTGTCCTGTTTGCACAACCCAACTCCCTTCTTCCTCGGGGGTCCAAATCGGGGCTTCGTAGAAGTCACATGACATCCAATTTACATGTCATGTGATCCAACTCCAACCAGCTCGGAACTTTCATTCACTGCACTAAGTTAACTACCATCCAAGGACGTGGGCAGTTGGGTAATAAATATAAAATGTAAGGTGAAGAGGAGACTTGTGTGTATTTGTTGTTTAACAAGACAACACCCGACGGTAAGGGTTCGAGTTCTTTCTCGACTCGGAAGGGTCCGCCGCCTGAAAGTTTGCTGGTTGTTTCGCTGGCAGCTTGACTAAGCAGCAACAAAGCAAAACAAGCCGTACCCGTACGCTGTGTAAGGCTGACCCCGGGCCAAAAGCGAACCCCGGGCCGCCAAGCCCGGTAAGGTACCGTTACAACAGCCATGCGCTAACCCCGATCGAGCCCCCAAGCCCTTGTGCGTTGGAAGAAAACAGGCAAAGAAAGGAATGGATGACTCCGGGGCGACAGGGCAACAGGGACCACAAGGGACCACAAGGGACCACAGGGACCACAGGGACAGCAGGGAACAAACAGGGCAACTGGGTCAACTGGGTCAACTGGGTCAACTGGGTCAACTGGGTCAACTGGCAACTGGCAACTGGCAACTGGCAACTGGGCAACGGGCTGCTGGCAAACGGGCCATTGGCGCAGGTGGGTAGAGAAGGAGAACATCTCGCGATCTGCAACGAAAAGTCAAGATCCCTACCCTACCTCAAAGTCCTCAGCCTCATCAATCTCTTTCACCGGAGCAAAAGACAAAAAAAACAAACTTCCCTCCACCCACACAACTCCGCGATAAAACTAACTGGCCTGCTTCGAATTCCGAACACTGAACAGCCACCACTCGCTTCATACCATCCCGACTAGTTAAATACCCGCGTTCCCCCCCCCCCCCTCTAACCGCATTTCGACAATAGTCGCCCACCGTTCAAAGATTCAACGATTCCTGTCCCCAGAGCTGAGGTGAAGCGGCCCTCCCCACATCTCCCTACTAGCCTCCTGAAGTTTCTGACGCAGTAGAGCCGCCCCCCCCCCCCCTTGCAGACCTCCGTGAGATCGCCTTTCCCAAGCACCACGCATCATTGGATCCCTGATTCATTCCTCGTTGCCAATCTTCAAATTTCGAGTTTCCACCCCCTACTCTTCGGTAACTTCTCATAACCAAAACCCTCGAATCGTGATTTGTGGATTTGTGGATTCGTGCTGTAGTGGTGTCGTGCTTCGTTTTGCCCTTTCCAAATCGTCGCTGTCCATCAATCTCGCATCCTTAAAAGCATTTTTCATTTTTCCCAATCCATACAAGGGGTCAACGGTTCATCTCTCTCATTCCACCACTCTCCAGCTCCAGTGACCACCGCGCTGTTTTATATTTACACAGGACAACTCCCGATCGCCCTATGCGCGTCGGGCCTTATATTAAGTATTTTTGGGGTTTCCCTCACAGGTTTTCTTGTCATCCAATACCTCACCCCCCGACTCTCGGTCCGGAACAGCGCAATCACTGGTTCTGTTTTGCGCTCCCCTTGATATCGCTCCTGCTATTTTACACTGGAGGGTTGAACGTTAAACGCCAAAAGAGGTTCTGAACCTGCCGCGAAGGCGTGGTATGTTTGGCTGGCATTCTCCTCTGCACTCCACTGCTGCTAGGTCGCAGCCGTTACACATGTCACCATGGCATATACCGGCCTCACGTCGCATCATGTCAATTACTTGATTTGGAGGTGAGTCTTTCTGCGTATATCCGCTGAACAGCACCACCCGCAATTAAAAAAAAAAAAAAAAAAAAAAAAAAAAAAAAAAAGAAAAAAGAAAAAAAAAGAAAATAATAATAATAATAATAATAATAAAGAAATAATAAAAAAAATAAATAAAATAATAATAATAATAATAATTGCGTTAATACATATATATATTCTTCAGCGCTTGCTTGCGCTCACTCCGGTGATCATTTAAGTAATGGAAACTAATCGAAACATCGTAAAACAGATATTTACAGGAATCAGGTTTGTTTTTACAGATTATCCATAATCTGCTATTTCTGTTGGTTTGCCTGATTTGGTTGCTTACCACTTAATCACCTATATTCTAGGTCACGGAGAAGCTGCGGTGATGCTACAGCGCGCTTGGAACCACAATCCTCAAAGTTTTCCATTTGCACCATATATTAAGCCATACGCCTTAATTACTCTAATCCAGAAAGGCCTTCAATATTATGAACTTGAACAATCATTAGACCAAGCAAGCCAAGTCCCGCCCCCTTTTATTGGTAGTTTTATACCGCTGGTCAGTCCGTTCTAACTATGCTTTCATTTTTTCTTTTTCTTTTCAGGCTGGGAATACACTCTCCTCGACGCCAAGATCTTTCTTCGGCCCGCCTGTTAGCGACTCGCGCTTTCCGGCAGAAGGTAACGACCAGACTGAGACCAAAGATGGACCCGTTGCCGCAAATCATATCCCATCATCATCATCATCACCACCACCACCCAAGTCTACAGGGAGTAAAGAAACCATAGATGGAATCGCCAATGGACATTCCAATGATGTTGGTACTCCACCCTTACCTGGGAAAACTCGCAAGCCTAGCAGTGTCAAGGAGACCGGCTCGACCCTGAATCCGGATGAAAAACCCAAGGATATCGATCAGCAAGAGCTAACCCAAGAACCGGCTGCCGTTACCAGGGAATCTCCGTCGGTTGAGCCTGTGGTAGATGCGGATGGGGATGTTGGTATGCGGGGACAGCAGGAACGGGAACCATCGCCACCAATTTTCACATTAACAGTTGGTCAGAGCACTGGTGTTCAAATATCTCCTTCCAAGGCGGCCGATTTGGGTCCGGACACCATCCTTCTTGATATCGATGGGGATAGTCAGATCACACAAACCCTGTGGCGGCCAGATGATCCAACAATAGTGGCTGCAACCGGCGACACATTTTGTAGCTTATGGAAGCCCTCAGGACCACGCTCGTCGACTGCACCAACTCACGAGCCATTGATCGAAAGTAAAAGCCAGGCTGCTGGAACATGCGTAACTGCTTCAAGTTGGGATTCCGCTGGCAAGATGTTGGCAGTAGCTACGTATAGTGACCCGTTGAATGGCAACATTACCATGTACAGTGCGGACGGCACTGCGGTAGACCTCCTTCCAGATCTACCAAGGATGGTATCGGGGATACACTGGGCTCCTCGAACTTTGCAGATGGCCGTAGTTTTATCCGACGGACAGCATTCTGAATTAACGCTCTGGGACCAAGCAGTTCGACCAGGAGAGTTCCCACCACCCCACGTAATCGACGGGCTCGTGCATGACGTATCATGGTGTGGGGATGAGGTCATCTATGCCTGCGGAGATGGATCTGTCTATGAATATCGCACAGACACAGACATGCACCTCTCCAAAATCTACCCATCACCCTATCCCCAAGAACCCTGGACCTTCATCGCCAGCGCCAGAGTAGCCGACGGTGCCCCAGTAGCCATAACAGCCTCCAGCTCAACTACGAACATCTGGATCCCCACTCACGACATCAGTATCACAACCGCACACCACGCGGACATCACCTCCCTTGAACTCCGCCCCGAACATCAATCCCACGTCCTCCTGCCCAAAACACACTCCCTCCTCTTCGCCACTTCGTCCATGGACGATACGGTCAAGCTGTGGAATGTCGATGTGGAGTCTAGACAGATACACTGCTTGCATCGGTTGTATATGGGGCCGTCGTCGCCGGCGTTGTGTGCGCGGTTTTCCCCGGATGGGTATGCCATTGCTGCGGCGACGGTAGATAGGTTGTTGATTTGGAATGTGGAGAGAGGCGGGGTGCCGTTGGCGAAGTGGGTCGCGCCATCTGCTGAAGCGGGGGTTGGGGTGGGGACGAAGAAGGAGACGGATGTAGATGAGTCGGATGTGATGGATGTGTTGGAGGAGGAAGGAGCCTTTTATAGATCGTTGTCGTGGGATTGTGATGGGAAGAAACTTGCGTTAGGGTTTGGGAGACAGGTAGGGGAATTAAATTGCCTTCATTTGTTTATGTTTTATTATAACTTCCTCCCCCCACCAACCCAACAAAGACCCGCTGGTTCTATTTTACTCCACCCCCTTTCCCCTCACGCTCAACTATACTAACTACTTCCCCTTTAGATGGCCATCATCAATCTTCAACGGTGACGCGCGAGCTATATGTGATTGCCAAATAAATCAAATCCCCCTTTCAACACTCCATAGGGAAAATTATCGAAACTTCATTCCGTCCCATACGCTGCCTGCCATGAAATATCGACACACATCTTCAATGTCCTCAACTCGTTAACTGATGTTAAGGGGCTATTTACGGTAGAAGTGTTTTGAAAAGACACATCGATATATCCCTTGCACATTGTCCTTTTCAGGACACACATCAAATTCCAACTTCTCCCCCTCCTACATTTTCCCACAATGGAGCGCGAACGGCCTTGTCGAAGGTTTGCAATAAGTTACTTGCTGCCAGCAATATTGTAGGATAATGCCATTAGCAAGAAGAGGTGCTATACTCCCGTACCATCAGCCCAAACCTCCCGGCAACCGGAAAACGAATCATTCACTTTTCCAGGACCCTTCCTCCCCGCCTCCATTCTCTCCCTCAGCCGAGCCCGAATCCTAAATCCTTCCTCCACATCCCTCCAATCACGCAACCACGCACTAACCCCATCCATCAACGTATCGTCATCTACATCGCCATCGTTACTGTCATAATCTCCATCCCCACCCCATAACACCCTCCTTGGCTTACCCCATTGTCCGCGCCCGTGGTCTGAAGTCTCAGACCAAGCATGTTTGGAATTCCTCCCTTCCTCTCCCTCTTCGTCTTCGCACTGCCGCATCTTCCACCGCTTTATCCACCCTTCCAACCCCCGCACTGTCCCCTTCAATCCTTCCAGCTCGATCGTGTTTTCGATCTTCTTCGCACGTCTATATTTGTTTCGTGATATGTTAAAAAAAAGAAAAAAAAAGTAATACCACTAGTTTCTTTATTCCAGATCAATACCACCTTTTATTGGATGTAAAAACGTCTCGTTTCCAATTTTCATTACTTTTGGAAGGATTGGGGTGGGTTTGGTGGGAGATCCGCAACTTACAGCTCCTCCAATTGCTCCTCCAAATCCAGAATACGCTGCGCGAGCTTTTCACATTTCATCGTGAACACGGCGTTTAAGTGAAGGCACTCTGCGCGGCGCTGCTCGAGGCTTCCGGTGACGACTTTTAGATCGCGGATGACGTTGTCGAGTTGATTGTCGAGTTTAGTCTGTGTTTGGTTCTGGTTATGGGGCTTGATATTGGCATCTTGACCTCCCGGCTCCAATGATATGCAGGCCAGGCGTGGATCATGATGTTTGTTGGATAGTGTGCAGCAGTGATTTGTTTTGCGTTCATTCTCGCCTCTATCTACCTTTACTTCTTCTTCTTCTTCTTCTTCTTCTTCTTCTTCTTCTTCCTCCTCCTCCTCCTCTTCGCCTGACGCGCCACTGGAAATCTCGGTGATATGGAGAGCTAGGAGGAGCGCTTCTATACCATCTAGATATCGGTTGATGGCAATAGATTTCTGTGGCGACCATGACAGCGACGTCGACGGTGACGTTGCGTGTGATGTGAGTGGATGATAGGGAGAGCTATTACTATATTCATTTCTGCTGTTTTGGTTCTTATTGTCTCTATTATCAGGTTTTGGATGGGAATCGGAGTCGGTTATCAAATGGGTTAGGTGTATTAGGCGTTCTTTAATCATTGTTGTTGTTATTATTGTTAGGCTTTGCAGGTGGGATTTTCCTGTCGCGTTCATCGTGTTTATTGTCGTTGGTATTGTCGTTGTCTCTGGCGTTTGGTCAGCGTTTCCTGAAGATTCAGTGTCCATGTCGATTGCGGAGTCAGAGAAGGGGAGGTGCATTGAGGAATCGGTGGTGGTTGTTGTTTTTGTTGTTTTGGCACTTGCTGGCTCTGTCGTTGTCATCGTCGCCGTCGCCGTCGCCGTCGCCGTCGCAATTGGTGACAATACCCCCATCGTCGCATTATCGTTTCGTTGTGAAGCCAATATCGCCAAATCGAATTCTCCTTCCCCGTGCATGTTTTTTCTTTATCGGTTGCTATTTATTATTTATTTGCTTTTCGCGTTGCCTACTGTAATTTTGTTGTAGATAGAGAGCATGTACAGGACGCGCATAAGTGTGTACACCGAACGTGCCACCTGGTTGGAAAGGGTGTTGTTTCTCTTGCTGGGTGTACCTCAGCAGCAACGTGCGTTGTTGGAGAAATAATAAATATGTACCAGGAAAACAAGGATAAATCTCAGATTGAAGCGAAAGGGGGCCATGTGATCAGATCACTCTTAATTCCTCCCACCCTCAATCCAACCGTTCCCTACAGAGTACGAGGTATCTGTAAACAACATGCATGCACTTCCCATCAGTGCTATTCATTCTCGTGTCCGCGGAGCTTGCAAAATTTTCCCCCCTGCTTCGTTGCTTGCCGCTTGGCACTTGCTCAGGAATAATAAATGCCGTGGCTGGTGAGGGCGATAGTTAGTTATCTTGTCACTCATGCAGCCACCAAGAAAACAGCCCGTCAAGTCCCAGCCTCGCTTCTGCAACGGCGAGCAGCCACCCTCCAAGTCCCGTCCACTGGTCTGCGCCCCGCCTCCCCGTACTCCCATTTCGCTAGTCCGTCTGCAGGTATTTTGCGGGGTCGAGACGCATTCAAGAATGGCATAGCGGAATGACATAACCAATGTTCCAGTCAACTAACTAGTTAACTATTTAATTATTTAACTTGCTAACTAAGTTAGTTAACGAACTAATGTTAAAGTTAGAGTTAGCCAGCTGAGATCTGGCAGATGTGGGAGGCACAGCACGTGACTTAGAGTGCCGTAGCTATTCACTTTGTAAAGGCCTCAAATACCAGTTACAGTTAATATGAGTTATTTCACCTCATACCTCCCACATCCCCCCTCAGCTCTGACACCCGTCTATCACACGTCTGAAACTACCTCCTGGGTTCCCGTAACCGCAACCATGGCCCCGCGAGTATGTTGTTCTACTTACGTTCTGTGCAATTTGTATCCACTGTGTTTTGTTTCGCTCTGTTAGGCGTCCGCTGCTGACGTCTCTATGTCTGCATATATAGGTTATTATTCAACCGTCGATAGAAGTGGTTAAAGATGTCCTGGCGCAGTCGAAGGACGCACCGCACCCGCCCAACCTCGTCCCGCTGATGGCGTCGGTGCCCGCGGATCTTCTCACACCAACTCTGGCATACTTGAAGCTATCTGCGAAGTGAGTGCGTGATTTCATTTTTGGTGCTAAACTTCCTAATTCATTCGGCAAGAATCGGAAACTTTGCTTTTTCTCCATTCGAACTTGCAGAGAGCTTAAGAGTTGTTGCTAACTTTTATATATTAATTCGTTGCGAGATAGCTCGAAACTGTCCTTCCTATACGAAAGCGCTGCTACGACAGAGACAATTGGGAGATATACCTTTGTGGGAGCTGGTATGTCTTTTTCGACCCGCAGACAGCTATTGGTAGATCATCCAGACATCCGTCAAACTAAACTGACCTTGCAATTCCCCGCAACAAACAGACCCCAAAAAGGTCATCAAAACTGGACCCGGCTACGGACCCGAATGCGACCCACTTCCCGCCCTACAAGAAGAGCTCTCCCAGTCCCGCGTCGCCACAATACCGGGCCTCATACTGCCCCCAATGGCCGGTGGTGCAATTGGCTACGTCAGTTATGACTGCGTACGATATTTCGAGCCCAAAACTGCGCGACCCATGAAGGATATTCTCAAAATACCCGAATCGTTTTTCATGATGGTTGACACCATTGTTGCCTTTGATCATTTCTTCCAGGTCGTCAAGGTGATTACATACGTACATCTTCCAGAAGACGAGAAGGATTTTGAAGCGGAATACCAGAAGGGTCAAAAGGTGATCCAGCAGACCATCGATGTCCTGCTGGATCCTAAAACTCCTCTTCCGCACCAGCCGCCTATCAAGGAAGGGCAAAAGTATTCTTCCAACATCGGACAGGCGGGGTACGAAGCACACGTGAAGAAGTTAAAGGAACATATTATGAAAGGGAATATTTTCCAAACAGTCCCCTCCCAAAGGCTCGCACGACCTACGTCTCTACACCCCTTTAATCTATACCGTCACCTACGCACCGTGAACCCGTCCCCGTACCTATTCTACATCGACTGTGACGAATTCCAGCTCATAGGCGCCAGTCCTGAACTACTAGTCAAGGAAGAAGGGCGGCGTATCATCACGCATCCCATCGCCGGAACCGTCAAGAGAGGCAAGACGCCGCAGGAAGACGCCCAGCTAGCCGCAGATCTGCTCAACAGCGAGAAGGACAGAGCCGAGCACGTAATGCTAGTCGACCTCGCGCGCAACGATGTCAACCGCGTCTGCGATCCCGTAACCACCCACGTGGACCGGCTGCTGGTTGTCGAGAAATTCTCGCACGTACAACACCTCGTCTCGCAGGTCTCGGGCATCCTGCGGCCGGACAAGACCCGCTTCGACGCCTTCAGGTCCATATTCCCCGCCGGCACGGTCAGCGGCGCGCCCAAGGTACGAGCCATGGAGCTCATTGCTGAGCTGGAGGGGGAGAAGAGGGGGGTGTATGCGGGGGCGGTGGGGTATTTTGGATACAATTATGCTAGCGGGGATGGGAGGGAGATTGTGGATGGGCCTATGGATACGTGTATTGCGCTGCGGACTATGATGGTGAAGGATGGGGTTGCGTATCTTCAGGCTGGAGGCGGGATTGTGTTTGATTCGGATCCGTATGAAGAGTACGTTGAGACGTTGAATAAGTTGGGGGCTAATATACAATGTATTAAGAGTGCGGAGGAAAGGTATTTGGCTGAGCAGGCGGAGGCGGCGAAGGAGGAGGTTTCTGTTTGATGGTGAAGGTTGTGTGGGGAAGTTGTTTTTATTCATTTTTCTTTTTCTTTTCTTTTCTTTTTTTTTTTCTTTTTTTTTTTTTTTTATATTGTACTTTCTTTCTTTCTTTCCCTTCTCTTCTCTTTCCCCTTTTCCCTTTTCGAATCGGAAGCTTGGGAAATGCGGAGCTTCTAGATCTCGGAGAAAAGTTTGCATCTTATGAACGTCTGGCTATGCGGTTGCCCGGTAACTTAATTGTCTTAGCGATATTTTTAGAACTTTCCTCTGTACACATTAATGTATGCAGTACAATAGTATCCATCAAGCCAGATATGCACTACAGCTAATTAGAATTTTTAATGGTTTCCTACTTCTCTTTCAGATCTCCTACATTTAGTTTATTCATCCACGGACACTGCACAACACTGGCGCTTGGCGTTCACCTTTTTGTTGCAGTTCTGCCAGGCGGTCAAACACGTGGCTGAGGGGAGAATTTGTGGCTTGACGCTCCTGCCACCAGCCCCAACTATTTCCCCCCCAGAAAATAAGAAAACTAGGCGAGCGCTCAGCCACTTTTTCCGCTTTGGGTCTGGGGAGGGATTCATCATCACCGACAACATCATCATCATCACCAACCAACCAACCACTTTTCTTCACAAACCAACCACCCGACAACCACATACACCGGTGCTCGCCAGACACCTTTCAACACCTTACGGGGACCTACGAGATTCCGTGTTCCCAGTAACCATTCTACCCTCCCCAACTTACCAATCTTCGAACCTCACCCTTTTTCACCCCAACGACGACGACGACGACGGACAACCTTCAACCGACCAGACTGCCTCGTGCGCTTGTTCATACCCAAAGTCCCCAACCTCTCTCACTTCTACGGCAACTTCGTATTCCCCACGCAGAATTTCCTCTTCCGTCCGGAAAAATAAAATATAGCAAAAATAAAGAAAGAAGAGTTAACATCCATTGGCAAAATTTTGCGTTCGAATGGATAAGTATATATAATACCACCTACCTCTTAAAAACGCAGGGCGAATAAAGATAGTCTATCTCTGGGAAAAGATAGTCTATCTCTGGGAAATCGCGACTTCCTCTCACACAACCGATTCTTCCTTGCTATCTGCTCTGAGACAAAGCAACACCTCGAGAAGGCAAAGGTAATTAAGTACCACGCCTCAACCCGTTCATACCGGCAAAATTGTAAGAAAGAAAGGATAACGGGGTCCATTGTTCGATAAAGAGATACAACTGACGGGGGACTTGTCTGAGGAAGTGGAAGAGTGCCCTTTGTCTCCTACATTATATCGGCATTATACAAAACGGTGGGGATAATCCATCAGGATATTAAAAACGAGAAAGGGAGGGTCTTCATTTCCCCCCTTTTTTTTTTCCGCGTTTCTCTTTTTAGCCGGATTTTGAGGATTTGTATATATCGCGACCATGTCGAAGGTTGTGAGGAGTGTGAAGAACGTTACGAAGGGATACTCGTCTGTGCAGGTTAAAGTTCGCAATGGTAGGTGTTGGTTGGATTTGGGTTGATATCCGCGCCTTATTCCCCCGCGTCACTCTGAACAACCTTACAAAGATTTCATGTGACTGATTACTCTTCTGTGCAGCGACGAGTAATGACCCTTGGGGCCCCACCGGGACGGAAATGGGGGAGATTGCGGCGATGACATTCCATAGGTAGAATATCTCTTATGCTTGACAGTTGTGTCCCTCTTTTATATGTGCGACTGCTGACAGATTTATTCCCTTCTTAATACAGTCCCAGCGATTTCTACGAGATCATGGATATGCTAGATAAGAGATTGAATGATAAGGGCAAGAATTGGAGACATGTGCTCAAATCGTTGAAAGTGTTGGATTACTGTCTTCACGAGGGCTCAGAAATGGTGGTTACGTGGGCCAGAAAAAATATCTACATTATCAAGACGCTGCGCGAATTCCAATATATTGATGATGATGGTCGTGATGTTGGGCAAAATGGTTAGTTGCGGGATATATATCTATACAGACTGGTATATGTCTGGGGACCTATTGCTAACAGTTGTAATAGTACGAGTTTCCGCGAAGGAATTGACCGCTTTGATCCTCGACGAAGAACGCCTGCGAAACGAACGTTCTGATAGGAAACTCTGGAAATCCCGTGTTACTGGTATCGATGATGGAATTCACGGCATTGCAGGTGGCAGTGATCCAGGACGTCGCTCTGGACGCGATCCCCCCCCGAGACCACCAAGTGATGAAGAAGACGCTGAGTACCGCCTTGCAATAGAGGCAAGCAAACATGAAGCTGAGGAGGAGAGGAAACGCCGCCAAAGGGAATTAAATGCTGACGATGAAGATGATGATCTTGCCAAGGCTATCAAGCTAAGTAAGGAAGAAGAGGAGCTACGGAGGCGTGAACTAGAAGAGAGCAATGCCTCCGCACTGTTTGATGATAACACCGTAACTCCTGCACAACCTCCTCAGCCACAGGTGACTGGATATAACCAAGGATATCAGCAACAGCCTGCTGTAGATTGGTTCGGAAATCCTGTGGACCAACAACAATCTATGTCAACAGGTTACCTAAATAATCAATATACCCAGCCTACTGGATTCCAACCTCAGCAGACAGGTTATACGAATGGATACACAGGTGGTTTCCCCGCCCAGCAACCTGGCTATGATCAATTCCAGCAACAAAACAACTTTATGCAGCCCCAGACTGCGCTCCAACCCCAGCAAACTGCATTCAATAATCCCTATGGTGATATCTTCGGTCAACCGCAACAGCCGCAACAACAAGACAACAATTTCCTTCAGGCAGGCAGCCATAACCCCTGGGCATCAAACCAACAACAATCAACAGACGCCCTCAAACCCATGCCAACCGGCTCCAACAACCCCTTTGCCTCGTCGTTCACGCAAAACCAAGCGCAGCGGGCACAAAAGACGGGTCCCCCTTCCCTTGGCACTCTTGCCCAACAACGTACCGCTCAACCCGTCACGAACCACACTCAGTTTTCAACAAACCCCATCACAAACTTCCAACCTCCCTCCAACCTCCAACAGCAACAACTACAACAGCAACAACAAACCCAGAATCCCCAACACGCTCGTCTCAACGCACTCCTCGCCACCGGCGACGGACAAGATACTTTTGGAAACGTCGGCGACCTCCGTATCCCCGCTCAACACACCACTCCCGGCGTCTTCGTAAACTCCGCGGGACAAGGTCTCGAGCGCCTCCAGCCTAACCAGACTGCGAATAACCCGTTTTTGAGCCAGCAGTTCACGGGCGCTCAACAGCAGCGCACGAATAACCCATTTGGGATGCAGCAGTCTGGTTATGCGGCATCGCAGCAGCGGCAGAGTGGGAATTTGATTGATATATGAATTTGGATTTGGAATCGGCTGGGGATGGTAAAAGAGTTTGTCCTTTTTTTATATTTCTTTTTTCTTGCAAATCGGTCGGGCATCAAGATAAGCTTTTTGACGAAGAGGAAGGATAAGAGAGGCGAGTGGTTTGAGTATAGGCAATTATACTTTTCTTCAATTTGGGCAAATCACCTTGACTTTTTAATTACTTTTACATACTCCCCTTTTTCTGTCCCGTTTTCCCTTCTTCTTCCTCTGCTATGTTACTCCTTTTTGTCCCGCGTCATTCCAAATATGGGTTCTAAATTTTCTTAATCCTTTAATTTTTCTTAATTTTATTTGTGACTCTTTTGTCCTTTGAAGTAATGCGCCGTTAATAATTTGTTTCAGGGAACCCCTTTTCTTTTCTCTCCTGGGTTTTCCAGTTTAATCTGCACGTTTGTTATTCTTCATCCCATCCCCATATTTTTCTTCAATGTGATAGTGTTTGTTTATTACAGTTTACCTACCTAGGTTCATGTAATTACCTTTCAAACCCGTTGTCTGCTCCTCACCATTTGCTTTTTCTACTCCATCATCTGACATCATTTTCCTTTGTCATTTGCCCCTGTATTGACGTTTGTAAGAGTTATTTAGTCCTTAAATTATACACCGTTTCCCACTTTCTCTCCCCTTATGTCCTTCCCTTTTTCACCCCCCTCCTGTCTTTTCCTTGCAATAATAAACCCCCGGCGAAGACGCGACAGATATCGATCTACAACAGATTCATCATACACTAACTAGTTTTCCATCCCTTTCCTTGTATCATCTTATTTTGTTGACAGCGCGTCTTGGTTCCCCATATATTTTCACTATAATCATTCAACCCCTTTTTTGTACGGCTCCCATATATGTAATCCATTCCTTCCCTTTGCTGTCCATAACATGATCTATTCCGCAATGCCGTCAAAAGCTCACGGTCTTCTCATGTCAACGCTCCCTTTTGTTCACTTCTTCGCTGTTGGCCCACGTATTTTTCAGGCGGTACCTATTCTAATCTAGACGCCTGGTGCCGCATGTTAATCTTAGCTGTCCATTTTTTTCTTCTTTTTTTTCTTTTTCTTTTTTTTTTTTTTTTTTTTTTTAATTTCTTTTTTGCCTTCCATTCTAGTTTACCATTATATTACCACCCTGAGGCATGCATACGAAACACGCCTTGCCTCCTTTCGAAGTATTACCGTAGTTGGTGTTTCCAGGTGCTATATGTACACACATTAACATAGCTATGAGCAAGCACACTGAACATTTACTATATATTTCTTTTGTCCATCCGTTCTTTTCTTTCAGTTCAGAACTGAGGCTCATTTAATGCCTCACAATGTGTAAGTTACCTCGTGATTATTATTTCCTTCCTTGCTAATCACAGAATGAAGAACGCATGGATGAGCAAGATGAAAAAATCTCCAACCATAAGCTACTATCTATTCTATTCCGCATTGCTTCATCGTCTCTTCGGTTGATTGCTCCCATACACTCACTCTATTAGTTCTGGTCTTGGGCGCCGCGATAAGTCGGTTAAGCGCCTGAAGCGCTGAATCCAGAATGTTTGCTTTTGGTGTGGGGAACAGAAAACCTAACATCATTCGCAGAGCGTCAAATTATTTTCTTGGTGGATGGCATAATGATAGTCGGGGAAACAAGATAGCAAACCCTGCTGGCGACACCTGGGCAATCAATCTAGGTCTCTGCCCCTGCGCTGCGAGAAGAGCTCTCGGGTTTTTGGTCCGCTGGTTTGAGGGCGCTCTTTATATCTTTCCCTATGAATTCCTATTACCTTCAGGCTCATTTCATTTTGATATATACGTATGTCCTAGCTGCTCGACACTCAGCCATGTACCATCCCCACCTACAAGCCTCTTGCAAAAGAAGAGCAGTTTCCCACCTCGAAATTCCGTTGTGTTTCTAGCAGTAACCGACGGAAAGGACATTGATATCCTGCATGATATTCATCTGCAGCATGCGTTTTTCATGATCTCATTCGAGAGCGTCATAGTAGAGGAAGTTTCCGAATCCCAAGATGTGGAACTTATCGTTCTGTCGGAGTCACTGGTTTTTAAAATATTTTTTTTTTATTCCACAAAATTGATCGACACCTCTCGATTCTTTGAACGCCACAAGGCAGACTGATGAAAGCCCCTGTTTCATCCAGGGACTAAGCACAGAATACTGGTCAGAGTTCCTTCATAACGTTATTTGGTAACCTCGGTTCAGTGTCCGGCTCGGTTTTGAAACAGCAAGGGTGGAAATTTCTGGGACGAATAAATGTCAAAGTGTCTTGCTAACAGTGATGAGAGTTATCACCTGGGACATTTCAGCCAATGCTATCATATCATTGCACATATATTAAAAACCTTATGAACATACTCTTCTATAGTTGGCGTCTCAGGGGGAATGGGAGTTGAAAACAAAGAAAAAGAAAGATGTAATTATCTTTTTCTTTTTCCTCTTTTCTCATCTTTTTTTCCGGCGAATATCCATGGGAAAGCTTGCTGGCACGGAACGCCCTGCTGCTAACGTTTTCTAGCTTCCGGGCTGCCACTGGTCGCTTCAGTGATCAGACTGCGCCAGTCATCGACTTCAGGGGCCCGCTCACACGAGCTGCATGTGCAAAACTAGCCCCAATCGGTAGCTATGGGTTGTCTATCACACCTTAAGTTGAACAACTGAGAACTATGTTGAGATAACATATCGCGACTGGCCAGCAGATACGAAGTTAAAAAAAGAACCCTTGGATCCTTGAATTTTTGTGGTCTATTCTCTCGAGACGGAAGCTTTGGCGGCAGTGCCTCGAAGCTATCAAAAAAGGAGAAAAGAAAAGAAAAGAAAGAAGAGGGACTCGCTTCCTCCACTCCAGTTCCTAGTTCTCGTAACGCATGGCATACCGTGGCACATTGCTTGACTTGCATACAGCATGTTTGACTCCAATGGGGCCAATTTTCAAGTTTGACTGTGGAGTCGAAGAAAGACAATACGAAGCACAGTTTGAGCCTCCCTCTGCTGACCAAAAGAAAAGGGGTTTCGCCGTTTGAAGAGCAAGGGGGCGCCTGAAGCTGGAACTTCTGAAATGATATATCATATATATAGCGAGCGGCCTTCCCCAGCCCGTTGGCTATTGTCATTCTGAACACTTAAATCAACCCTTTTCTGCCATTCATTCGTTTAGTGAATTTTTTTGTCGCTCTTTATTACTTTGATTTCAGTAAAGATACCCCTTAACAATTTTGCCTTTTAGAACTTTCAATCATTCCATATCCAGGCTTCCACTAATAATACCTTATCCCAAAAATGGCCACCGCTGAGTCGACCCATAACCCTAGCTGGACACACTCGTTCTGGGACATCCTGAACCCCATTGATACATGTAGGTTGCGCCGTTGTCGTGGATTGACTGTCGTGGGTTTTGGAAAGCTAACAATGATTTACTCGATTTCCAGGTTTGGTCGGATGGTTCTGCCCATGTATTCTCTTCGGGAAGACACAGGCTCGTATGGAGGACCCCACTCTCCAGAACTACAGTCCCATTAACGACAACGTAAGTAGCCAAAAGGAACAACTCTATCCCTCTCTCTCAATTTCACATCAATCGCATTTCCGCCTGGCCCTTTCTAAAATTGCCCAAATACTAGTGCCTCATCTTCTGCGGCCTGAACTGCTTCGCCGTCGCATGGCTCTTAGTTGCAAAGAGACGAATTGAGATGCGCGAGAAATACGGCATCACGCAGACTCATCTTGAAAAGTTCTTGAAAATGGAACCGGGCTCCATCAAGGCGAAACACAACTTTGAAGAGTCCCATCTCCAGGACTGTCTTAGCGCCTTCTTCTGTCCTTGCTTCGCCCTCGTCCAGGGAGACAAGGAGGTGATAGCTCGCCAAGCTGCTGGCCAGGGCTACCAGAAACCTCAGTCCATGTCTTATCCACCTGCTTAGTTTTGGCAACGGGGTTGAAGCCGGGGGGGGGGATGGGATCGTGGAAATATACTATTTATTGTATAGTAATTTCGTTCGATTGGCTCCATGGACGGGTGGATGGTGGACGGTGGACTGTTCGAATTTTACGCATTATTTTGCTTTTTAAAATAAGCCTGATATATAGAATACCCTGCTGGAATGATATTTCGTATCTCTTTCAAACAATAAAACAATCAGTCCCCTTTTAATTTGTACCTGATGAACGGACAACCATGAACAGTTCGTACGGTTTTGTTCATTTCGCCCCTTTTCCCACATCTAAAACCCCGTCGCGGCAAAAATATCGCAAGGGAAAGACGTTCACAATTAATACTTGGCCGACTACGAAGTAACCCATCCGGCTCAAAATATATATGCCCCAGGAACTCAACTTGAAGACAGCCTGACATCCATAGATGCTGAACTCGAAGACCAGCTTCCAAGACACTGCAAAGCTTTCCTTGCTTGCCCTGAACCATCGTAATCTTAGACGCTGACTCGGCAAAAACCCTTCACAGAGCAGGCTTCCACCCCTCTCTCAGCTCACTTGCAGAGATCATACAACTGCCAACATTTTGCATTTTGTTCTCATCTTAGCGCTGTCCTCCGTGATGTCAACTTTCTTCATCCTCCGCGGAGACTCACTCTCTAAATATGCAAATATCCATGTTCCACACCCGCGTTCATGGCATAACCTAATTCGTCCTGAACCACTGAGCTAATGACCTCTTTCCTTGCTCATTGCTCGTCCTTAACTATCAACTGCTTAGACGCGGGGGGGTGATTCTGAATCTTGAGAACTCCGATTTCCAGGGACCAAGGTCACCGTATTCCAAAACGCCTTCTTTGGAAATAAGATGTAAGCCAAGTTTGGAGCCTCGGGTTTCAACGCTGGAGTGTGAAATATATATATACATATATCATATTAGCTACCGGTGCCACATCGGAGGAGAGTCTAAAGACGAAGAGCAATCTATTAAAACCCAGTTTCTATTGTTATATTCCCCCAATGTTGAGATTACTTTTCTTCCACATGAACGACCCTGCCACGACTTCACAAATAGCTTTCCGCTATCACCCATTTCCCCCTAAACAATGGCTTCTCTTATCTGTCTGCACAGAACTCCTCAGGCGCTGCGGTGCTCTCACCAACCTTCTGTTTTAACCACTGCGGCTCGCCAGTTGTCTTTTATATTGCTGGTAGAATCTGATATGTGAATAAACGAGCTGGCCATCTGGGGAAGGACCGCATACGCGGTACATAGAGCTTCCCTGATAGATTGGGAGAGACATGGTCAGGGCAACGACATCAGTCTAGAGAATGGTTTTCGAAAAATTTAAAAAATGAATTAGTAGGTTTATAGGTTAAGGAAAGATGCGCCGGAGGAACTTAGGAGGGCTAAGTTGAGTTTTGGATATATTCATGGCGGTGAGGAAAATTCGCAGCTAGTCTGATCAACAAAACCGTGCATAAATGAGATAAGCGTATTATAAGTTTGGAAATGGCAGTGGAAAAGAAACGAAGGAGAAAAGGAAATGAGGTGCAAAGGTAGGTAATAGGTTTGAGTAAAATATAAAGAAGAAGGGGGGGGAAAACGAAAAGAAAAAAAATAAAGAAAAAGTGCTGTATAAAGCAAAACCATCCCTCAAGGGTGTGTTCCATCATCTAATTTATGTTCCTTTTCTGAATTCAAGGGCTTCCATTCTTTCTCCTGTGATGACTTACATATAGTCTGTCAACCACTCTCCTGAGTCTTGATCTTAAGCCATGCTATGTTTTGTGCAGGATGTTCACACCGCCACAATTCTCACGACGCAAACACCCTCACCTTCAAATCCACACTCCCCGTCGCAATCACACAGCGAATTCCCATCATCGCCCCGCCGCCAGGGTCTTCCTTCTTCCCCGTCGGAATAACCCCATTAATAGCAGAGGCAGCAAGCGCACCCCCGTTCGCAGAAGCAGCAGTCGAAGTATCATCCCCATTCACCACCCCAGCATCTTTGATAATATTCGGCGCCCACCGTATACAGCTGATAAAGTGCCCATGTGCATCCTTCACCGTGCGAACACACTTGCATTCCTGCGTCAGATCCCAGCAGCGGAGCGTCTTATCGTCGCTGACGGAGAGCAGATATTTGCCTCCTGGATGGAACACGAGGGCGCGAACCCAATTGTCGTGGCCGATGAGGGTTTTGATCAACGTCCCGCGCGCATCCCATATGCGTATGGACTTGTCGCGCGAGCCTGTGGCGACATATTCCGCCGACGAGGAGGATGGGGGTGCCTTTTTCAGCCCCGCCAGAGCCGCCAGGTGCGGATAGCTAGTTGACGGGGCGAAAGCGACACATTCGACCGCGTGTTCGTGGCCGAGGAAAGTGGATTTGGTCTCGCCGGAAGAAACGTCCCAGAGGCGTGGGATTTGGTCGTTTCCGGCTGAGAAGAGGAAGCGGCCGTCCGGCGAGGCTGCGACGTCCCGCACCCAGTCTACATGTCCACGCAGCGTCTTTACGCAGTATCCCGTCGTGACGTCCCAGATACGCAGGGTTTTGTCACGGGAGGCGGAAACGAGGAGGTTGCCTGAGAGCGGAGAGCCGGCGGCGCCGGAGGGGATGAATCGGACTGCAGAGACGCTGTGGTCGTGGCCTGGGAGGGTGCGGATGTTTTTGTACCCGTCTGATGGATCCCAGAGTTTGATTGTCAGGTCTGATGAACATGAGGCTAGCAGGGTGCCGCCGCGGGGTCCGCCGTAGTCCACATCTAATACAGCTTTTGTGTGGCCCTTTATTGTACGCTCGAGCTCACCTAGCTCCCAATCCCATATCTTGATGGTTGTGTCGTCCGATCCGGATGCAAGGGAGGAGAAGACGGGATGGAAGCCCACGCAAGTTACGGGCTCACGGTGGGATTGTAGAACGTGTCTGGCGGGGGCATGGGGCAGCCAGGAGACGGGGTCTTGGTTTCTTCGGGCGAGGGATGTTGGAGTAGCAGAGTCCAGCTCAGATTGGAGAGCATTATTTCGAGATTCTAAGTCCATGATCTGCATGAATATGTAAATATAACCGTTTTATCAGGGGGTATGTTTTATGGGACCATTATCACAAGCAAGAAAACAAGGGAAAGAGGAAAAAGCCATGTCTGATATTGGGCTACTTCCGGTTCGAGCTGACCTTTTTTTGCAACCGCACCACGCTCGTCCACTTCTTTTCCAAAAGCCCTTCATATTTCTTCGCGGTGGAGTCGTCAAGCTGGACACTGTCAGCTAGCTCTTCGCGCAGCGCAGCGGCACTCTTCGGTAGGTTGGCGGATAGGAGGTAGGCGATCATGGCCTTATGGCTGCATATATATACCAGCATAATTAGCAGATATGTTTGAATATAGGGATAAATTGGAAACGCACAGCTCTTCCGCCTGGCGGGCAGTCAGTAATTGGCTCATGGTTGTGGCGATGGATGCTGGCCGGTGTAGGGTAGAGTGTTGTTTTGTATTGGGGGCTCTCTTCTCAGGTGGCCCCCTCCACGACCACCCAACAAGACCTTGCCCCACCAAACTTTGCCAGATAATATGGTGATATATAGACGGAGAGGGTATATCAGGCAGTGGAAATGGCCATAGGATGACCAGGTATTGGGCGGGCAGATGCGCAGGTAAAGGAGGAGTTGGATGGTAGCACTGAATGAAGAGCGCGCGTGGCAGATAACTGAAT